TCTTTGCCGAAATTAGTGTTCTATTCTATCATTATTTGTTTTTTTTTTAAATTCGCTCCAGAATGAAATATCTCATTTATAGACTTTTTAAAAGCTTTTTCTGATATATTGTTTTACGTAATAATCTAGATCTTTTTCGTCAGTGAAGGAATGCAACCTCCAAGCTGCTATCGAAAGGCCTTTGTGAACTAATCTTGGACTTGCTCTAAATTTTTGCCGAAGTAGTTCTTGTCGAATATGCAGAAGAAAAAGGAAAAAGCAGAAAAGTCAAGTAAAAAATGGAACGAATATGTAAAAAAGTATTATCTCAATACACCGGTAGACATCACTCTGCTGCGTTTCAATCATTTCAGTTTCGTGCACGACCGTTGAACCTTTTCTAAACAATTTATAATAGATTTGGGCATGGACAACTTACCAGTTCAAGTGTATCGGAGCTATTTAAAGTTGTTTGCACACTTCAAGTGGGACATTGTTCATCAATACTATTAGGGAGTGTAGAGTAATTTGTGTGTGAAACACTTGGTAGACCTATTTGGAGATATTGATCGGTTGTTTCCACGTTCTGGCATATCGAAAAAGTTTATTGCATATTATAATTCCTTCGTGTTCCAGAAACTGTAACATTAGTTCTAAGTTCTTTTATACTGGTGTTCTGATCAAAATACATTTAGATCATCAGCAAACACATGAGTCGGCAAAGCTCCTGTAGACTGTACAAGATCAGGATGAAATACTATAAATAAATATGGACTTAAGTTATTTCCTTGAGAGAATTCAATCGATATAGAAAAGTTTTTAGTATTAGCTTCATGATAGTGGAGAAAAGCTTTTTGTACAGACAAATCAAAACATATCATTTTCAACACCTCATTCGATATATTCAATCATAATAGTAGCACTGGTGAGGCTGCGCGCCACGTCCTGTCATAAGCTTTCTGATAGTCGGTGTATATAGATAGCGTGTGCACATTGCCGACCAAGTTATTGAGTACTCCGTAGTATATAGACAAAACTCTGATTGGAATTAGACAGTTTGGCATAAAACTTGATTGTTCCATAGGAACAGTATTATTGATTTCAGCCTAACTACGTATTCTTGCCAGCACAACTTTTTCAAAAATTTTTGAATGCGTTGTCAGCAGTGATAAGGCCATGTTTGATCACTTCTGAGAACATCGACTTTTAATTTATTCAAGGTGATGATCTTGGCTACTCTCCACTTCTTTGAAAATCTGCATTCTTTTAGCCAAATGTTGAAGCAATTACAAAGACATTGTACGTATCCAGGAGGAACTAACTTTAGCGTGTAGTTTGATATAGAGTTCTAGCCTATTGCTGTCTTGGGTTTAAAGGATCGTATTGAGTCCGAGATTTCTTGTATATTTGTCCATTCTACTTCTTCTACCGAGTTGAAAAAAGCTTTTAAAATTTCCTAGAACTCATTCTGTTTCTCTGTATCATGTAAATCATTTCTATCAATAGTTGAAAGCTGAAACTCATTTACATATCCCTTGGAAATCAATAGCTGCAGTCTGTGTTTTAAATATATCATTACTAAAAAAATATATTTCAAAAAAAGACACAAGTACGTATTCTGAAAGTGCTTTACATTTTCTATTATCCTATGTATTTATTTGTTAGTTTGCACTAATGCACTATCAAAATAAATCGAGTACAACGGAGATTTTTTTCAATTTTTCATTACTACAGAAATATATTTTCAGAGAAGTAAATATATATTCTAATAGACCTCAAAATTCTCTATCACTCTATATATTTACCTATTCTCTTGCATTCATTTTTTGAAAAATAATTTGAGTACAATGAACAGATCCTCATGTGATAAGTACCAAAAATGGTACTTTTTCTCCTTTTATTAAAATACAGTTACTATAAAAATAAATTTTTAAAAAAGCTACTATAGATTCTTATAGAGCTTAAAATTCTCTATCATCCTATATACAGGTTGTCCGGAAATTCATTTACTAAAAAGAAAATTCAATATCTTCATTACGGCTCGAGCAAACAAGCTGATATTTTTGTCAATGATAGAGGCATTCTCAAAGTTTATGTCTATAAAGACATGCCTAGAGAGATCCTTTTATATATATTAGTATTGACCTCAACAAAAGAGTTTTAATTTTTCATAGATAGAGAAAAAAACAATATACAGAGTGAGGCAAACGTCATTTTGCCAAAAAAAAAAGATTATCTCCATTACGGTTCGGGCAAACGAGCTGATTTTTTTATGAATGCTAGAGGTACGTTCAAACTTTATATTCATAAAGATAAGCCTAGGAGCACCCTTTGTTAAGTATACTGGTTTTTTTCTCTATCTGTGAAAAAGTAAAATTCTTTTGTTGAGGTCAATACTAATACATATAAAAGGATCTCTCTAGGGATGTCTTTATAGATATAAACTTTGAGCATGTCTCTATCATAGACAAAAATATCAGCTCGTTTGCCCGAGTCGTAATGAAGATATTGAATTTTCTTTTTGGTAAATGAATTTTCGGACACCCTGCAGTTTTATCTTCCATTGCATTTGTGTGCTGCAGTACATAAGTATAAGACAAGATAAAGGTATATAGGGCAATAGAGAATTTCAAGATCTATTAGAATATATAGTTACTTTTCTAAAAAAGGTATTTCTATAGTGATGAAAAATTGCAAAAAACTAATTTTGATGATGACAGTGATAGTATCAAGTCTGTGGGAATCTGATGATGTGAATGCCTTCATTGCACTCGATTTATTTTGATAGTGTATAAGTGCAAACTAAAAAATAAATATAAAGGATAACAGAAAATTTCAAACGTTGTCAGAATGTGTCCTTATTTTTTTCAAAATATGTTTCTATAGTGATGACATACTCAGTATACAGACACTGCAACTATTTATTTCTAAGGCTATATATATATACGAGCACATAGTTGTAATAAACTACATACGCAAAATAATAGTTGCACTATAGTCCGTTGATCTCAAATTCAGATTGAGAAATGTTTTGTGTAATTACTTTTTCCGAAACGAATTTTTATTATTTTACCGTCACATTTGAATGTTTCTGGGAGTACACTAAGGACTATATAATGGTATAATACCACTAACTGATTATCAAACTGGATTTATGCAAAAGCTGAGAGAAAATATGTGTGCAAAAAAAAAGTAACATCTTTAATGTTTATCAAATACACTAATAGCTAACGAGGGAACTTCTTCAGTTATTTCCTTCCGATTTCAGTGATTTTTTGTCTATAGATACGGTATAGTGTTCTAATAAAAATCCTTAAAGTATTTAGGTTCCTATTGAGATTTGATTAAGCTATCAAACTTTTAACATGTCTATTTTCTAGAGATTCCTAGTTTTCGAAAAACTCACATGTTCGATTTTGATCTGAAACTTTGTACATATAAAGAACTCAGCTAGAATATTTTCCATAAAAGAAATCCAGAAGTTTTGAACAAAATCTCTTCGAAATATGAAACTCTCAAGATATAGACCGTTTTCCATAGATAATGTATACAATATGCACTTTTGAAAACTTCTGAATTTTTTGATCAAACTAGTCTAGTTGATATCGCTGTATGGACATAGTTTTCGATTAAAATTCGAAAATACGAATTGTCCAAGAACCCGGGATGTCTAGAAAGTAGACAAATTAAAAATTTTATAACTTAGTCAAATCCTTTTAGTATTTTTATTAGAAACCTATGTAGTATCTATAGGCAAGAAATGGTTGAAATTGGAAGGAGACAGTTGAAGAGGTTCTCTCATCGGTTCAAAAGTGCCGTTTCCGATATTTGTGTTTAATGAAAGTTATCCACTATTATCGCCTGCTTCTGTATTGATATAAGTATCTTCTTTGTTTTCGTCGACTTCTCAGTAATTCTTTACATTCTTAATATCATGTATAGGTTCCTTTGACAAAGGACTATCGTTAATAAGCTATCTCAGCATCTGTGAGTAAATGGGCTTATTTTTCTGGTCCATCTCAACTGATAGCTGCCATGCTCAACATAATCGCAAGTGAACATCTAGTTTGTACATCAATCTCCATTTCTTTTGTAACTATCCAAATAAGAACAATTAATTAAATCACTATTGTCAAATGATAGCTGTTATGTATAAGTAAATATTCAAATAAGAAAAATATAAGAAATGCGTCATACTGACGCAAAAAAATCAAGATAAGATGAGTATTACGTTTGCATAAAATGAATCATCACTTCTATTTGTTAACAGCTATCGCCTTTTCAAAAATAAGATTAATCGTAGCGGGTCTTGGCCTCTACATGACCACAGACATAACAAATAACAAATACTTTCTGTTGCATAAAAAAAATAGAAAATAGAAAAGAGAAAAAAAAAACAGCAAAACTAAAAGAAATCAGGGTTTCAACCTGAATTTGAGATTAAACGACTACACTATTAGAATAAATTCTTTATTAAAAACTTCTGTATATTATAGAGTTTCATTTGTTCATTCTATAATACTCTTGTTAATCCAAGAAACATCCATAAACATATTTCTATACAAATCTTATTTGTAAAATAAATTCTCCTGCCACGTACAAAGATGATAATAACTGTATTTAATTTTTTATCGCAATCAATAACATAAACATGACATTATCACATATTTGTTCACTATGGAAATCAATAAAATTGATTGATCTGATGTAACTTTCTTCAATAAAACGCACTCTTCAAATAAGGGCTGTACATATGACGATGTTAAGTCATGCATGAATGCCTTTTTTTTTGTTTTATTTTTCTCTCGCGATAGTCCACAAGATCATAATCTCGTCTATTGATGTCTATACGTGTAAGTTAAAAAAAAAGTAAATTATTATAGTATTTCAAATACAGATAATTCAATGGCAACTAATGAACGTGTTACTAATATTGATACAACAAAACTATTGTCTGTATTAAATAATGAAGAAGAATTAATTATTAAACCTTTTCAATTTAGTAAGCTTAATAAAAAAATTTTAAAGTTATTTTTTTGGACATAATTGGTTTTATTATCTCAGGAACTGACCATGAAACTGACGCTGCAGAAAGTGGAAAAATTGTATCACGAGTAAATAGAACTTTATTTAATTATCAAATCGGTATGAACAAAAACAAAATGATAAATTATCTTTGTACAAAAAATTCATTTTTTATTCGTAGTTGATCAATGGAATTCATCTAGGATAAATTTAATATTTAGCAAAAGGATTACGTTATTAAATCCCATAACCAAAGAAGTAGATATACTATTTTATTTTGTTTTATATAGAGTAAATTTTATTATTTGAGGTAATACTCGAATGTTATCAAAATCGTCTTCGTCTCTTATCTAAAGTACGTTTTAAACTAGACATACGATGTTTAGGAACACAATTCAATGAAGCTCAATCAATTGGATCTATTCGGAAAAGGTATATTAAATAGTATCTATTCAAAAATTTTTCAAAATAAAAAAAGATTACTATCTAACAATATAAAATATAAAAACATTGAAGTCATTCGAACATATATCAAATAAATTTAAACTTATTCGAAATTCAATTGAAAGTACATGGGGACTAAAAAAACTTACCTTATATATGAAATGTAATTTCTACACTTATAAGATTTAGTTAGTGAATCAATTTTCTTTGCAGTAGACAGAACTTAAAAAATGCTACTAAAGTAGAATAGTTTTTATTTTGAACACATTCCACCGAGAGTAAAGACAAAGAATGAATTCATTGAATATGAAATCCAATCCGAAACGAACTCATATTTGCCAAATTTTGATCTTTTATAATAATCCAATAACGAAACATTATTACGATCTGAAATGTTCAGGCTATATTTCTAGATGTTCAAAGCTTAAATAAATATAAAAATCATTTTGAATTATTCTTGAATTTCTACTAGTATTAAAATATCTGAACAATAGCAAGACTTCATATTTTTTTCATGTAGCATGTACTGTATCAATTTTTTTATTTCGTTATTTCAATTCGTTGTCATTATGATCAATTATATATGCTGTAGATAGAGTGCTTCAATAATTACGAAAAATTTGTCTAAAATTATTCATAAATTTTGACTTCATAATGAGAAACAAAATACAAAATAATAAAGAAGGATATAACAGTAATTAGTGTCGAAATTGAATAATTCTATCATCAGAACGAAAAAAGCGTCAAACAAAACAACAATCTTTTTTTTTAAATCGAAGTCTTTATTTTCATGGCGAGTATACCGGTAACTGTATGGTTATATCAAAGGACAAAGATCAATAGGGCCGCTTTTCTTTCCAAAATCTGTTCGAAAAGAAAAGTGAATCATGATAATAAGTCAACCATGGTCTACAACATGCGCACAGTTAGTCACCTTAGTTCGACAATGTGATTTTTTACACATGTTCCCCTCTCTATGGCGCACCTGAATTTTGTTTTTCTCTCTTTATTTTGAATCAAACATATAACAAAATATAGAGTTGATGATGTTGATTACGAATCTCATATTAACGAGTGGGCCATAAATAACCTACCTCTTAATATTTTTAAGGTTTCTCCTACATTATCTCCTTGATTAAAACATTTCTTTTGATCGAAAGATAGCGTTTGATATTCTCTACAAAACCATATATGACTAGGGCCAAAAACTGTTTTAGATATATTCGAAAAAAGATGAAAACTAAAGTCATACATATAACTGTAAAAAATAAATATGAAAATAGTGATTACGGATGTCATACATACTTTTTGATGGATGTTTTTTCTAGTAATAGCTTGTTTTTCTATTTGTACTCCCGGAAAACTACAAAAACCTAGCGGATCGTGTGGATTTCGATCTATTCTACAACTGTTGTTCCAGGGAGATAATCGAAAATTTCTCAGGAAAGAGATTATAAGATCCAGAAAGATGATACTACCACTTTCTTTCAGAAAAAATAACATCAGCATAGTGTGAGTTTCATAAATGTTTCCTGAGCAATTATCGATTACCTCGCTTGAACAAAAATTGTAGAACAGATCGAGATCCACACGATCTGCTGAGTTTTTGTGGTTTGCTAGGCGCACAAATAAGAAAAACAAGCTATTACTAGAAAAAATATCCATCAAAAAGTATGTATGACATCCATAATCACTATTTTCATATTTATTTTTTACAGTTATTTGTATATCTTGATTTTTTGTCTTTTTTCAACTACATCTAAAACAGTTTTTGGCCTTAGTCATATATGGTTTTGTAGAGAATTTCAAGCGCTATCTTTTGATAAAAAGAAGTGTTTTAATCAAGGGGATAATAGAGGAAAAATCTTAAAAATACGAAGAGGTCGGTTATTTATGGTCCACTCAGTAGTTTTTGCCTAAATCATTTTGATGAATGAGAAGATTAAATTTTCAAGCAACAAGGCTATGTGTGAATAAACATGCTATTCTGTGTTTTAAACTGCCTACTAACCTTATATATAATGTTCAAAACGTTTGAAAGCAAATTTCAAATGTGTATTCAAGTAGTCTTTATCTAGTGATGCAGAAATTAAGACATCTCAATATGGGCAATAGCTCATAGAACTAGACTACAAACGAAAAATTCTAGTCAATTGATGTGAGCGACTCCTTCTGCAGTTACATCACTTCGCCATTTCACTCGATTAACTTCTAAAAGTAATATAGATAGATCCGGTTTTTCATAGTCTATTCAAATATGTTCTTGAAAAAGAAAACAAATTTGTTCTTTGAAACTAAAGTTATTATTTAGTAGTGGAAGTCAAATGTTTCAGATAATCTTTTCACAGTTCTTGCATGCTGTATGTCGTCCTATAAGTTTAACTGATAGAATTAATGTTCCATTAGATAGAGTACACTCGATTACCTAACAGATCCTATACAGATTAATGGGAAAAGATCAAAAGTCCTTGGACCATAACACTTAACAATGTTGAACAACGGTAAGAATGGTGAGATCAGTTCCATCATCATGGCTTCGTTTTTCAAAAGAAAAAGAATCATATAGTAATGAAAATTCAACTATGGACTACAATTTAGACATACTTATCTCTATTTATTTCTTATCGAAATTTTTCACATCTGTATCCTCCATTCAACATTCGAGAATCTGAAAAAATTGTTTTTCTTGATTTTGGACCAAACACATGTCATAATATAGACTTCATGGCACTGATCATGAATATCTACTCAAATTTTGTCTAAACCGTTTTAACAAGTGATGATACAAAATATGCAACATTTTGATTTTAGGCAAAAGAAAAGACGATTCTCTCTAGTTGTTTTTTGTAAGTAATTTCCGTTTTAATACAGTGCTCTAAATCTTTGAAAAACATTTAATATAGTTAATCAAGTGTCCTCTATCTAATGAAACACTAATTCTATCAGTTAAACATATAGGACGACACCCAGCATATGAGAACTGTGAAAAGATTATCTGAAACATTTGATTTCCACTACTAAATAATAATTTTATTCTCAAAGAACAGGATTATTTTCTTTTTCAAGAACATATTTGAATATACCATGAAAAACTGGATTTGTCTATGTCACTTTTAGAAGGTAATCGAATGAAACGGCGAAGTGACGTAACTGCAGAAGGAGTCGCACATGTTAATTAACTGGGATTTTTCGTTTGTAGTCTAGTTCTATGAGATATTGCACATATTGAGGTGCCTTAATTTCTGCATCACCAGATAAAAAATACTTGAATATACATTTGAAATTTGTTTTCAAACGTTTAGAACATTATATAAGGCCAGATGCCAGTCAAAAGCAAAGAACAACTTGCTTATTTACTCATGATTCAGTTTCTTGAGAATTTTGTCTTCTCATTCATCTAAATAACTTACCCAAAGAGAAAAAAACTCAAGTGCGAAAGATCTCAATATCGAACTAAATTGGATAAATATGTGCATGTTGTCATCCATAGTTGACTTATTATCGTGATGTGCTTTTTTTTACGGAAACATGCTGAGGTGGAAAATATCCTTATCGACTCTCGTCTTTTCAACTCAAAAATAACTGTTCGCGAGCACTTTTCTACTTTTATAGTGAGAATACACCGTTCTCGTAAAGATTTTATATTTAATAAATTTATTGTTTGTCTCCAGTTATGATGGAGTATTTTCACAAATAAAAATATCTTTGTCCAGTAAGTTTTCCTAAGTTTTATGTATTACAAAAATGATTGAACAGAAAAATAAATAAATAAATTCTAGAGAAGCAGAAATAATACTTCGAAAAAGAAGTTAGTTCTCTTTGGACCACTCTGTATATATATATATTGAATTTGTAATTCAGTGTTACCTATATACGCTGTCACTTTTCTAAGTTATCCACATATATATGATATTAATATTAATTGAATGAAAAAAGAAACATTTCATATGACTTTTTTTAAATATTCTACTCTCGTTTGTTTTTTTTTTGTAGATTGGCCTTTGGTAAAGTATGGTATGATGTATATGATAATAGACGTGTACATACTGTTAGTTTAGCGTTACGTAAAAATCATATAAGAGGTAAAATTCAACATCGAGTACCTGCAGTTTCAATATTGAATAGTGATGAATCAAAAAATATTGGACATATTTATCCATATTCGTCTGATTTGGAACAAACGGACTATGGAAATGCTGTAGCCATGAAAAGTATATGATTGTTTATTATTATTTATTATTATTCTAGATTTATTTTATATTATTGTTTAGTTCCAGAAGATATGAAAGTTGAAACAAAAGCAATATTATTAATTAGTACGCTCGTACTTGTATGTAGTGTTCTATTTAAAATATTCATGTTTGGAATGTTTTTTTTGTTTCGTATAGAAATCACGGCTCAATTAATCGATTTAAATGTTGACATTATCATTGAACATTTTAATTTACTTTGTAAATAATGAAATATACTGAAATATTTTTGACTTTAATCGAGAAGATACGAATATAAAAATAAAGTTTATAATACGAGCTTTACTGGAAAAGATGTCCTGTTCAAGATGTAACTTACAATAAAGAACTTAACAGTGGCGAGTCTAGAATTTTGGGAATGAAGGAAATCATGATCATCAAGCGTATTTTGAATTCCATCAGAAATTGCATTGGCTCATTTTCGCGTATTTTGTGTTGAAAAAAGTCGAAAAATATTTCGGAAACGAAGAGTAATGGCTCCTAATGCCCACCGTCCTATCCATCATTGGAACTCAAAGAATATGCATTGAATTCAATTCTCTCATGTTGAAGTAATAAGTTTGATATCTCAGTATTTTTTTTTCACTGATTGAAAATCTAATTACATAATGTCGAAGATATTTTTTCTGAATAAGAAATTTATAGATTGGTGATTATCAGATATTATGGTTATGTATCCTGTTTTCTTTTCTCTCATAACGCGACTATGTCTATGTTTGCTGTAGAAAAGGAAAGAATAAATCTAAGATATTTAGAACAAGAATATAAATCATTTGAAATTTTTCTTATTTGATGCAAAACTAATCATTAAATGTATTATAAGATAAGAAAATATCTATTGGAAAAAACCCAATGAGAAAAATATTTTAAATAAGTGCTAATCAAGTGAAGTTTTTTTTTCCTAACCTTTTATCTTTACATCTGGTCTATTAGTTATTTGTGCAAACAACGAGGACACAGACAAGCAAATCAATTAACCGACGATCCACAACGCATTGGCTATAATCAAAACGAAGGCCGATAGGCAAGCAGAAAGACAAAGTTCTTTTATCTAGATATATTCAATAACTGTGTGTTTTATTATTATGATAGTACAACTAAATGATAGAACTCTCATCGAAGGTCAAAAAGAAAAACTTGTCAATGTAAAATAAAGATGTTAAATGTTAGATAAATAAATTAATACATCAAATGATTTTATCTTCTTTACACGGTATACTCGGTCAAAAATTATATGAAGGAAAATCTAAAACAATTTACTCAGTAATTGATCAACCAAGTCTTATTTGTATACATCGTAAAGATTATTATGATTCATCAGATTCAATAGTAAGTGCTTCTAGTAGTCGTCGATCAAGTTTTGATAGTTCATTTCGTTTAAATAATCAACAACAAAATCGTAATAATGCTTCAAATTTTAATAATGAATTTATAAGTAAAGGTATATTAACAACATCTATAACAACTTGCGTTTATGAAATCTTACGTGAAGCATCTATACCAACATTTTATGTTGCTTCACATACTCAACCAGATATATTTATTGCAAAAAAATGTACAATGATACCAATATTATGGATTATTCGTCGTATAGCTAATGAAACATACATTAAACGTAATCCTGAAATTATAAATGGACATCGTTTTATTCCACCAATTATTGAAATTTATCATAAACGTCATTCAATTGTTTATAGACGAGCAACATTAGGAAGTCTTGATGAAAATCTTGAATCAGATCGTGAAAATCAATTAAATGATGATGATGATTCTGATTTAGATGAATGTATTTCATCAGTATGGTCTTATGAACAACTTCTCAATACAAATATTGTTCTTGAAAATTTGAAAATTTCAAAAACTGATATTGAATATATGTATGAAATATGTTGTACTATATTTGATATACTGGAACATGTATGGATGGTCGAAAAAAATTGTCAATTAATTGATTTAAAAGTTGAATTTGGTATGACAACTACAACAACTAAAGAAATTGTTGTTGCAAATACATATGATATTGAAACATGGCATATATTACGACCAATTGAAAAAATGACTTCAACAGGAAATGATTCAATTCAAGAAAATCTTATTTGGATAAACAATGCATTAAGAGATATACTCGATTTAAATATTAATAAATCGTTAACAACGAAAATAGTTTCAAATTATAAAAATGATGAACAAAAAACATCGAATATTATTCCTGAATATGATCATGTTGATATAGATCAAGATAAACTATCTCTAAATAATTATTCAACATCATTTTTACCAACAATAACAAATCGTTGTATTATTGTTTGTTCATCATTACATGATATTGAACATGGACAAAAAATAAAAACAACTCTTAATGAAATATATAATATTCAATGTGATATTCGTCTTTTATCAGTATTTAAATCTACACAAACAATATTAAAATTTTTATCTAATTATTCATATGAACATTGTCGACCAACTGTTTTTGTTACACTTGGAAATATAAACAATGGTCTTGCTATGTCTTTATCATCGAATTCACAATATCCAATTATACATTGCTCATTATTAAATAAAGAACAATATAATAATTTATTTGATACAAATTCATTTATATCAAATGATACATCATTATTTACAGTTGTATTTACATTATCAAGTGCAATACATAATGTCATACAAATACTTGCTATAAATGATTGGAAATTATGGACGAAACAACGTGGAAGACGTTTTAAAAAATACATCGATTTAATAAGAGTTGATCAACAATTAACAACAATGCAAACAATTAAAATGAATAATGGAATGTTAATTAATAAATAAAAGATTTTCTCTTTTTTTTGAACTATATTCGAATTTGTGAAGTATTTTAAGAATGGCTTTCATTGAATGTGTGTTTATTTCCATACTCAACATATCCATTGAAAGGTCAAAGAAAGGGTATCTCTCGTTAAACTAAATGCATCTGTTCAACAGCATGAGGTAGCATTTCTTAATTAGTTTGAAGATATATCTGTAGTTTCTATCTTTTGTGAATATATTATAGATATTTTTTGAGAAACCTACTACAACTGTATATGGAAATCTCTTGTTTTACATTAATAAAAAAACAATAATGTACATCGAGATGAAATAATATTTTCTATTTTTAATCACCAAATAATAAAAGTAATAAAATCGTTTTCCGCTCTTCAAAATCCAACCAGAAATAATGATGTTCTTTTATCTGTTTCTGTGTCGGTGTTTCTATACTAGTAATAATGTCAACATCAGTATATCATTATCGTTTCAGCATGTGCTGTTAATTGTTGTTAGCAAATATATGATTGAATTCGCCCTCGAATCTTCATCATACTTATATAGAACAACTCGATGTTTTGCTCGTATAGATCTCAGCCTGACTGAAGAATTAAAACTAAATAGTCGAAAACATTTATGATGGAAGATTGCTGCTCATCAGTTAGTTATAATATTACTTTTCTCATGTGATTTCTACTATTGATTCCGAAGTGAATTATACATCAGACTTTTAATAAAAATTTTGTTTCTGTTGATATATTTCACCGAAAGTAACTATCATTTATGATGTACTGGAGAATATCTCTCTGAATTGATCGCATTGAAAAAAAATTATTATTATGTTTTTTTCTTGATCAAGTGGTCAATCGATTGATAATGATAAACAAAATTTTGTTTAGAATTCGATGGGTTATTCATTACAAGACTTTGCATACAACGATGAGTCTACATTTTGAGTGAAACAAAAGATTGGAACACAAAAAAGTCAAACAATACATTGCTGAAGCCGAGAGCCAAACCAAAGTAGTTTATAAGCCATGCTTCGTTTTTCGAAGTAATGAAAATCCATCATATATGACATTAGCATTTTTTTTAAATATCAACCTGATGTATCTATTAGACAGTTATTTTTCCTCTAGAATTTTTGAAACATGAAACACAGCGAGAAATATTATTCGTCATGTTAAAAGTGACGTTTTTTTAGACCTATAAAACAATTGTACACGCACACATGTTATGTGGAAAATGTAACCGAATCTAGTACATACGATTCTTAATGTGCAATTTAAAAAGAATTATTGTGCATGGGTGGATTATTTATAGTAAAAAATGGTACAAGTAAATCAATTGGTTATTTTTCGTAATTCACTCAACGGTTTCCTTTTCTTTCTTTTCTATTTATAATATAGACAATCTTATGTAACTAATGAATCTATACACGAGGCCATAATAAAATATTCATTGATTGTTTTCACCAAGGAAAGCTTCATTTTCAACAATTAAAAGAAATGTCATTTCAAGTTAGACACAATCGTCATGATGCAATGAACTGTTAAAACATATATATCGTACTTGAGTGCGCAATCGCAAGATGAGTTCATCGAACTGTTAGGTAAACGTATTAAACGGACCACTGTTGATCACATTAATAATTCTTCATTTTATTCAATTATGGTAGAAGCACGCCCGATGCATCTCATCGAAATGTCTACCTCATTATTTTTTTTTATATCATGATTGGTTCAATATGAGAAAAGCGTAGCATCTCATCAGATAAATAAATTACTCACAAACATGATAATGCCAACAATATGGTTTATATCAATAAAGGTGTTTATGCTTGTAGTAACAGCAAATTAGAAAATGAAATAATGCATATATTTTATGGTGTATATTCCTCGTACCAATCAGACATACTTTGCTTTGCATTGTGAAAGAGGATTCATCTTTTTGATGCTTTACAAGAGCTTCGTACCTGCTCTACAAAAAATATTATATGGCTCAATGTGCTTGGTAAAGAACTTGGATCTTGAGATTTCGCCCAATTGCCGCATCAAAAGACCTAACTGATACTCGATGGGTGAGCAATATTCATTTTCATTAATACCTTGTAATCAAATTTTCTGCTGTAGAGTACTACTTTTGATAATTTAAACGTTTTTGATGTTTCCGTTGAAGAGATTTTTGAAAATTAATTACTGATTGATGAATAAAACGTGGAAAGCGATATTATACATGAAGTGATATCTCTCAAAAAAACATTTCGTTTTTGGTGCTTAATGTTACATATGCACTTAATATTCGGTTTCACGCCATGAATTCTTGATTTAACTCCAATTGATGTTACGTAAAGTAGTATGAAACTGTTTCAAACTATGAAAAATTATACATTGCAAGAGTCCTTCTTATCGATGTTATAGAACCTTATTGAAGAAAACATGTGCACTGATAATGGCTATTGTTAATACATCTATGAAAGAAACACGTTAACTAGAATTTAAAAGAATTATGCATTATTTTGATGATCGATAACTCATTAAAGAGAGAAATTGTATAGATGTTGCCTGTATATTGGCAGATCTGAATTATTTACAGTATACTTAAGATTAAAACTCAATCATCATCTTATTCATAATTATGACCTATTTACAAAAAACGTCGATGAAATTCATATAAACTGTATCAATATTGTTGATATTAAAACACTTGCTTACATAAAAAACATTAAATTATTACACATAATCTATAATTTGTAGCTATTTTTGAAATAAGTACTTTGACAAAATGATATTATCAATTAAAGATTATGATATTTTATATTACAAAGTTCTATATGGGATTCAACGCGATATAGTGATGTTAACGGCCAAATATAGTTAAAGATCAGAACATCAAGCTTTTTCCCAAATTGAAAAAATGGAGAAAAACGTAATTTAGATCATGATTTGATTAATTAGGGATAAAAGATATTAAAATTCTAATAAATGATTATAGAACTGAAGACTGCAATAGTCGTTCAAGCTACAAAAAATGATTTAGGTGAAATCGCATTTTACTGAAAAGCAGAGAAATCGTTTAATATCAAAATATCTATTGAAGTGGATTGAATTATACGAGACAAAAGTTTCAAAAGGATTTGTCATTACTCAATAGTAGAGGTTATCAATTAATATGTTACCAATACACTATACTTGCATTCAATTCTTCTAAAAGAACAGCATGCTTTCTCAGAGGATAAATATATCTAATATTAGAGTAATATTCAACCATGTACGTATTCTAATCAATATTCAGCCAAGGTATTTAACTTTGATATTGTGAATCACCATCAAACAACATACTTTTCGAACGGTAACGATCACCAATCAATTTTTCATGAATACTATGAAAAATCAATCAAAATATCTCAAGATGGAACGAAAAAATTCTCCTATGCATTCAGCATTATCTGTGAAAGATTTTATTTAAAATTAGAAAGCCAACTCCTTTTACACTGACAAAAGAGAATATTTGTTCAAGTTTTTAGTTTCTGTTAAAGTTTACAAGTAAAATATAATTACTTAACTCATTCTTTGTAATTAGATGATGAAAAGCGAAACTTATATAGTCCTATTGTTTATAGAATGTTTATGATGTGGAAAAGCATCAATTATATGCATCATATACTGAACATTAATAATAAATTGTCAAATCTATCGTTGTTACGTGAAAGAAACAACTGTGACAATTTTTTCTGTGTTACCATCATAGAATAGATTTGAGAGATGTGAGTTTCGTCTCGTCTTGAGGATATCTTTTTTTTTCAAATAGTTTTTAAATATTTTATAGAAAATGTGTAGTTTTATAACACATATATGTTATTCAGTTTGGAACTCTCGGATTGCGAAACAGAACAGTTGGTATTTTGTTGACAGGAATATACTTTTTGCTGATCATCTAAAATCTTTTGATTTATATCAGTTATATACAACATGTATCATCACATATGAAGTTATATTAAAATAGCTCATTTTGTTAAGTTAACTGTTGGAAGGTGTAATTGAAATCTTTAAGTACCAACAAACCAACTGTATTCAATAATATTGACATACATTCAAACTGAATTTTATCAAACTAAAAAATAGTTCATGACAACTAGAAAACACTTGGTAACGATGAAAATTAGTAGAAATGAAACCATTTAAATATCAAAAATGTATTTCAAAAATAATTATTTTCGAACTATTATTTACGCGCTTTTTTGAGCGTGTCCAACATTTTTCAAGGTTAGACTAGAGACTTCTTGTTAATTCAGGACAAATATTCCGATTGTCAGAAATGACTTCCTAAATGATCTGCAGCAGCTATAAAATGGTGTATAACTGCATCAAGTTTCGCCGTATGTTTCTACAATCCGTCATCCGTTTTTATGGACTATTTTTTTTTTCGCTAACAAACAGCCATTGTTTTTTCTACTAGTTTCACTATTTTACTAGATGACGGGAAATGACAACGTAACAGCACTAGTTTCCGAAGTTTTATATCGCTTATGAGTCCGTTTGATTAGACCTAGGAACGTATCAACTTTGAAAAAAAATTGATCATTTTATTCATAAGAACTAAATGATCTCTTTTTAATTATGAAATCAATTTCCGTTTATATTCTGACAGATTTACTTTTCTCACCTGTCAATTAGACTCATGCACAAAAGAGAAGAAGTTTGTTTCTGATCGTTGTCATAGTCAATCGTCACTTTCTTTTTTCAACAAGAACAACACATTTTATAATGAACAATAATGAATAATGTATTATTTGATTTCTACCAAGAACCTTTAGCCTCATCGCGACACCTATCGCTACTATAATTATTGTTGTAGTATAGCGAATTAAACCTCGTTGAGATACATGTAGACACTTATTAGTATGAAATTCATTTATCGCATTGCTTTTTTTTCCCGTTATGCAATATAACAAAAATATATTTATTATCTTTTTATCTTGACAGACGAGTGAGAAAAGTTTGCAATGACGTCACTATTTCACTCATATGTCAATTATAGTGGTAACTTAATCATATTTTATTCAAGTAATATCACACTTAATTGCTGGAATATTTTTAACACCATATCGATTGTAGATCATTTTCAAAGAATGATATATTTCTTACTTTTTACACTGGCTTGTCGATGTATTTATACTATTATTCACTATCCTTTTGCGTCTCCTTAGGCCTTTTAAAACTCGATAGTAAATATAGACGTAAATTGTTATGATGGATACAAGACGAATAAAATAGTAGGCAACAATGGTAACATCTGCAAGAATCATATACCTATACATTGTATCCAGCATATAGAACTAGAAATAAAACGTAAATGAGACTGTAAAAAGAAATAATGGAAATCATGATTTTAAGTCACTTCGTAATTTTATCCTTATTGTAGGGGTCATATTTTTTATGAATGAAACATTAAACATCTTATTTATTGTGGCTACTATAAAAAATATTTTATTTTATGATCATTACCACTTATCGATGTCGCACAGTAATTGTTCATATATGTACAAACCTACTTGATCAGAGTCTATAAAAATATGTTTATATGAGCAAAACCCGTTATACCTTCTCAAAATATTATTCAAATTAAAAGAAGTCGGCTAACATTAAGTAATGATTAGACTACAATTGAGTGTTGAAGAAAAGAACATTGAATCAATTACCTTGTCTTACTTATAAAATATGAATGTATCTGAAATCAAAAGTCCTAAGTAAACCGTTGTTTCTTTTAATTATCTGGCAATATATCATCGATGACTTCAATATCTTTTTTTTTCTTATAAAACTTAAATTGCCGAGGTGTTTTTCAATACTTCTTCATAATTCATATTTTATGTAAATGACAATAACATGTTTACAAGAAAAACACGATATTAAACAGAAAAGAAGAGCTTCTTCGATGTCTAACAGATGCATAATTAAATTTGTTGTAGAACGATATCTACGTGATTACAATTGAATTCAATATAACCATCACATCACGCATCTATGCATCACACATTCAAGTTTTATTCGATTGACACTTCCGATTTGTGATTACAGGAAATTACGTAAATTTTCTCAAATATGTGACTCATCTTTTTTTTTTTGGTGGTGCCAAGTCAATCTGTTGCTCTTCTAGAGAAAGAAGCTTTTTATTTAGTGTAAAACGGAACAACATCTATATATTCTCATATTGTTCGTACATTGTGTAATTTTATCATCCTGACCATCTATACATATAGTATATGACAGTATTGCCATAATTACACGGTACATTACTATCGTTGTTAACATTTTCGAATGACCTTGCAACATTTACGCCTCTTGCTTTCATACAAAACCATAGAAAAGTCATTAAGATACACTGATCGACCCATCTGTCTTGATAATCATATTTAATTATGGGTTAAGACACACACACACATACAGACATACATATAGTAAAACCGAATATTTACAATCCTTGGCTTAAAAAAAACAGATATTTTTCTTCGTTAAAATAAAATAAAATAAAATAAAATAGAAATGAATGCATTGCATTTATTTGTGATGCAATAAGAGCCTATTGATATAACGATGACTTTTTAGGGTATCGTCTTTTTAAAACAGAACATAGGCATAAAAGAAAAGTGTAAATGTCATTTTAAATATACGTGCATATGAATATGTACATCAGATGAGTGTACAACTGAGCGCTCAAGTAAGGGAGAATCAGTAAATTTAACTCTTTTTTTTTACTAAATGCATACTAATCGACAGCAGTGGCGAGGATAACTACGACAATGTTCAACATTAACAAGTTTCAGTGATGTGGTATTGATACAAAAAAAAAAGAAAGGCAAAGAAAAGAATAGTATAGAGAAAGAAAGAGAATATATGTGGCAAAGGAAACATGATTACGAAATAAACCGCCAGAAGAAAATGTGCTCAGCATACGAGAAAGAGTCGGGAGTATGCTTCTTTTTTTCTTCTTCTCTAAATGAAAATGAGCAAATAATCGTACTGACAATAGCCGTATAAGACTAATGGCTCCGTACGTTTTTATTTCCTTGAAAATTGAGTATAATAACGTCCTTGTTGAGATTTAGAATGAAGATCCTTTTCTCCATAAGCTCATTCATCTGTATGTGTTAGTCCTTGGAGTACATTGCACCTCATTTCTTTAATAACTCCCTCCCTATCAGCATATAGTTATTGTTATCCGTTATTATAATTGAATGTTCTAGCTGTGCCAGAGAAAGAAGAAGAAGATAAACACACACACACACACACACACACACACACACACAAACGTTTTCTATGCATGCTGTTATTCTTTCTTTTTAGATATGTTCTCATTAATATTGACACATATTAATTGATGGTGAACATATCAATACAATGTTCATCATTCTTTTTCTTCTTTTGTATCTTAATATCTTCTCAGGGTTATTAAATATTAATGGAAATGAATGTCAATTTTTAACTATGTGTAAATGTACAAATTTTCCTCTATTTGCACTTATTGATACAAGTTATTTATCTAAACCACGATCATTATTAAATCAAGATTTATTTTGTACATATTCAAGTGATCAAGTAAAAGAAAATAAAATAACAACATTTGAACAATTAAAATATTTTTATTATCGTTTTCGTACATTAACATTTGCAAATTATCCAAATATACCAACTAAAGCATTCCAATTTGTTCATTTTGAAACTCAAAGTGTAAAACAAACACATAAAACAAATAATCGTAATGTTATTGCATTTGTTAATGTTGAACATACTGAACCTGGTTAGTTTTTGTAATCATTGCCTTTTATTTATATATTTCTATGGTTATTTTTATTTAGGTATATTTGAAGAATTGAGTTTGTCAGATTCTCAAGATCAACTTATTATCTCATTTCTTAATTCACCATCACTTTATTATGCTAATGGAGCACTTTCCAAACTTAATTGTTATGAATTTAAATTAATTAATACTAATCCACAAATACCGATAGATTTTTTTTATCAGACAGTTTCCATTCATCATTTAATTATTAATAATCCATCGTTTTCTGGTTTTCTTTCATCGTCAAATCATAAATCTTCATTTATTTTTCAAATTTATAAACTTTCAATAAAAGATATTAGTGTTCGTCAATTACGAGGTAAACATTTTCCAATTGTTTTCAATTCAGTAAATGAATTAACATTGGAAAACTATAATGTTAATGATGGTTTTCGTTCATTTAATAATCGTGAATTAGCTCAATGTTTTCCACAATTACGATCATTAAAAATATTTTCAAAATCACTTCAACATATAGTTTCTCGAATGTTTGAACATTTAAATCAATTAGAATATTTAATATTAAATGGAATAACTACTATTGAAAATAATGCTTTTTTCAATTTATATCATTTAAAAGAATTAAATCTTGGTGAAAATATTTTTCGTCTTGATCCATATGCATTTATTCATATGAATACAGACATTTTATTATTAAATCAAAGTCATAATTTTCAATTAAATGATGATAAACATTTTTGTACATTTGTTCAATTTTCACCATTAACAAATTTAAAAACTGTTGTACAATTTTCAAAAAATTTAAATGATTGTTCTTGTACTCTTCGTTATTTATATCGTCATTTAGATAAATCATTTATGTCATTAACACCTTATTGTTATTCAAATTCAAGTTTATATATTTTAACACAAGAAGAACGTATATGTCATTTTGAAAAACGTTTACTTCAATGTGATATATTACCTGATGAAGGTATAACAATTTATGGTAAATATTATAATGTATCTTATTTTTATCAACAACAAATAACAAAACAAAGAAATCAATTATCAAATTTTTTTCGTTATCGAATTTATTATGTTGTATTATTACCTATAGTAATTATTATTTTATATATTATTATTCGACAACAAAAAAATCGTCATCATAAAACATATAGACATTTACATCGTTTATTAAAACGACGAATAATATCAACAAATGAAAATAGATCAACAAATGAAACATTTGATATTATATATCATCATACAAATGATAGTTTTGATCCAATGTCTTCAAGAGCATATATAGCTACTAGTGTGTAATATATTAGTTGTATATTTCATTGAAATTATATTTATTGATATATCTGAATTACTTCGATATCAGACAGAAGAAAAAAAAACAGAAGATCAATTGTTGAGATTACTAAGAGGACGTGAAAGACGAACATTGTCGGTACTTAAATTTGACATTGATGGTGTCATCCTTCGAGATTCGTTTAGCTTTGATGATCGACCAGTTGGTGATCGATATCGTAGATTGAGAGGTTGAAATTGTGATGAAGTTAGACGTCCAGTGAAAAGAGGTAATCTTTTAAAAGTATTAATATGGAATTATGTGAATATTAAAAAAACAAAAAATTTAAACTTACAAAGGATTTGGAACATTGAAAAAATCACAATCATTGATATTAGAATCTTCGAGTGTATTTCGTCGAAGAAGTTTACTTTCTAAAAAAAAGAAATTATTGATGTAAATTATTTAATATTCAAGGTAATAGATTATACTTTTCATCTGTTTAATTGCATCCATAAAATATTCAAAATGTCGCATTTTTGCTCGAATTAATGCTAATTCTTCACTTTGTCCATTTAAAATAAAATTTTGATAATCAAGAGTATCCATACATTGTTCTAACATCTAGAATTTTTATTTTGATTGACATCAATTAAAAAAAAAACTTCATAATTATATTTACAAATTGATATTGTAATACTTGTTCTTGTACATCCATCTGACTTTGTAATATATGTGTACCCATTTGTTGAAGAGACATTGCCTAAATAAAAGTAGAAAATATGTTCATTATGTTGATCTATTACTCTTACAGCATTTCGACGTTGTGCATTTTCATCTTCAAGTTGCCTCAATCGTCGATTGTTAGCTTCATTTCGAATAATTTGTGTTGGATCTGATACCTGTTTTTTTTTCAAGGAAATAGATAATTTTTTTAAAATAATAAATTACATACAAAATTTGTTGCAATTGGATTGAATGATGGTACACTAGTAGATGTAGCATAATAATTTGAACCTAAACTATTCGCAAGACCTACTGGTTGTTGAACAGAAGGAAATGTTGGAATCGGTGGTAGATTGCCTCTATTTCCTATTGTAGATGATGGCACATTCAGATTATTTATCGTAGATAACCCGATTGGATTGCCACCACCTTGTAGTATAGGTCCTGTTATTGTAGGTCCAGGTGCTGAAGAACCTGCAGCTGCAGCCCATACATTCGGAACTGCTGTTGATGGTGATAGGCGAGACATTATATGCTTTTATTCTGATGAATGCCTAAAAAAAATTATAACAGGTAATAGCTATCGTTTGTTACCTTCGAACAAGAAAAAAAAATTTGTGCATTCAGCTGTATCGACAAACCAAGCAAATGCAATACAAACACACATTGATATATTGTAAATCACTGCATGTGCACGACATTTCTTTATTATATACGTATATATATATATAGCGCCTTGCGATAAAAACGTATACAATATTAAATATGGCCAATAATTTTGATTCATCAAAATATACAGATAATAAAGCAGCGGCAAGTTTGAACAGTATGTATGAGAGAGTTGTTTTTTCTTTCACGTGAATATGAATTTCTATTCTTTTTTTTTAATAAATAGTACAAGATGACAAAAATAAATCAAATACCAATAGCAATTCACAGCGTTCTGCGTATAAAAATGTTTGGACGCGTCAACCATCAAGTGACGCGGACAAACAAACGAGTTCACCCGATGAACAGCAATCTCCAGTTTTTATTATTGAACAAAAAACAAAACCATATTGGGAAACTGGAGAAGGTTCTTCTGAAGAATGGAATCAAGATCAATTGGAACGTCACCATGGCAAGTATTTTTAAAAAAGTTTGTTAATGCAGTTACTTTAGAACTAAAATTGAAACTCATATGTGTTCTTTAGTCTCATTATACTAATACAAGATATGTTAAGTGAAAAATCTGTAACAGATTATAATTTTTTTTCCAAGGATAATTAATTACCAGAGAAACAATCTCTCTTATTTATTATTTCTGCATTTCGAATAGAAAATTTTTCTTTTGTTACTGGTGTTATATTTTTGTTTGTTCTTTTGTTATTCTGTCGTTGTTTTATATTTTCATAATTCGCTGCGCTTAATTAAACATTATTATTGTAACCACTGATTTAACTAGCAAATCGGCTTTTTGTACAGAGTGTCCGAAACATCACCACCAAAAAAGAAAATTGTATATCTTCATTGTAATTCTATTGAATGAACTGATTTTTGTACTGGTAGTAGAGGTAGATATGGGGAAAATAGTTTCGGTCCTACCAGAAACTGGAATTAGGACCACCAACTTTCTCATTGGGAGTGATATCTCATTTATGGCCGTATAAAACTTGCGTCAAAAGTCATATTCTCACAATTCATATGTTTTAAAAGTTGATGTAAAAATTATTGAGTAACGATTACTTCAATATCTACTGTTACAATTTTGATCGTAAAATTAAATCTTTTTTTTTTTTTGTAAACAACAGAATTGTCTAACACATAAACGTAACCAGAATCTTTTCTAACTAAGACTGGAATCAAAAACGTATGGTCTCACTTATCACGAGGCAGAGGACACTGCCAAGTTTTTACTCATAAATATTAAGTAGCATTTTCAGGTGCAATACACAATAATGCTCTTTTTTGAGTTGCAAAAGTTAATATATAGAATTTTTTTTTCGTGAACTTCTTCAACTTTGTTTCACTAATGTAGGCTTTCCGTCATTCAAGCCTATTTCTCTTGCTTCATAAACATTTCTTTGACACGTCTGAAAAATTCAGAGTAATTAGTAGATTTCTTCAAAATAATGTGTTTGTCCTTTATCAAAAATTCTAATGCAAGGTTAACTGAGTAAATTAATGCAATCCTAGGATTTTCACGGACATTAGACTTCAAATCAATATGTCTAGGTTGTTTAAAATATCTAACAAATGTTTATAAATCAAGAGAAATAGGCCTGAATGACTGAAAGTCCAAAATAATAGGACAAAACTTAAGAAAAAATCCTGCAGGTAGTTTTTTTTTACAGCTTGAAAAAGAACTTTATTGTATATTGAATCAGGAAGTGGTACTTTATATTTATGAATACAAACTCGGAAGTGTTCTCTACCATCAGTACAAAAATCAGTTCATCCAATAGAATCGTAATGAAGATATACAATTCTCTTTTTGGTCTATGACTTTTCGGACACTCTGTACATATCCATTATGTTTACAGCAGATCTCAACGCACTATGATACATCTCGATAAGTTCAGAAACAAGGATACTGATTATTTTCCAAACTTATAACTTGATCTGTTCACACTTTTTATGTTGGTCATATGACGACTGTGACATATCAATGCATCACTACCCATCATCTTCAATATCTTGATTATAAATTTATATCTGTACAAAAATAAAAAACTGAACACTAATGTATTCCAGTCATTAAAATATCGAGAAAGGCTTTAGAATGCTCGGGGACTTTCTAGAACGAGTGTTTAACGGTTTTTTTCCGTTCCTAAGAAATTCTGGCAAAGTAGTTTGATGACTGTTGCCCTCGATTATTAGAAAAACGCAGCTTATGACCATTGGACTTCTTCCTATCGCTATGAAGAAAGAGCCAGGAAAATCTCGACTTCAAACTTACACTCGCCATATTTTTCTTCGAAAAACATCCTGTGACACTTACAAAATCGATATTCTTTCTTTTTTTACTTATATATATATATATATATATATAGATGAAGGTCATGGAGCAGAACAAACATCGTCTTATTATCAACAAGAATATTATAACTATGAAAACCCATATAAAAAGAAAGGAGTATCAGTGAGTATTTATTTTTTATCAATTTTATTTTCAATATACATCGATGATATTATAGAATAAAATTGATCGTTTTGTTCAACGTTTTCCTGTATTAGGTAGATTTTACAAACAACCACCATCTGTATTTGATAGTAGTGAACCAGGTCAACAATTTAATTATGATGAAATGTTTAATTCTATTGTTTCAAATTCAATAACAAATGAATTAACTGCTGATGATTTAACTTTAAATGAACGATATTCGGATAAAAGACGTATACAATATATAAAACTTCAAGCAAAAGATCAAACACAACCCGTTGATATTTCTATTCATCATCAAACAAATAAAATATATTTATGTGATGTTGGTCGAAGTCTTGTTGAAATTTTTGATATTAATGGTACACGTGAACATGTAATTAGTGGTACAGTTATGAGTAAATTTCAACCAACAGCTATAGTTGTTGCTTCTGATAGAAGACTTATTGTTGCAAGTTATTTTAATCATTGTCTTCATATGTATTACCCAAATGATACTTCAAATCAAGTCAATTGTTATTCTTATAAACAATTTAAATTAGGTACAAAAGGTAATCAAATACATCAATTTTATAATCCAGCTGGTATTGCTGTTGATAACAGTGATGGATATTTATATGTTTGTGACCGAGGAAATTATCGTGTACAAGTTATTACACCTGATGGTATATGTGAACGAATAATTGAATTATTTATACATAATAAAAAAAATTACCCATTAGATCCAGTTCAACTTGCTTTTCAACCAAAATTTGGTCGACTTGTTTGTATTATTGGTGGTACTGCCATATGTTTTATTCCAAAATATACTAATGGGTAAGAATTAACGTTGATTTATTTCACAATTTTATATATTCATATATATATATATATGTATATGATTTTTAGACCTGTATATGTCAATCCATTATATATAACTGATACAAATGGATTAGGTCTTGATAATGCTTCTGGCTTAGCTATAGATACTCATGATCGCATATTTATTTCTGATACAGATCATCATCGTATTGTTATTTGTACACCTGACGGTTATTTTATAACAAGTTTTGGTATGGAAGGTTGTGGACTTGGTCAATTGAAACGTCCATGTGGTTTAGATATAACAAATGATGGAACTGTTGTTGTTACTGATTCTGGAAATAAACGAATACAATTATTTGGTTTAATACGTGAACGAACACCTGTAACAAACAATCCTCGAAGAGAAAGTTCTAATGTTAATAGTGGTTTATTCCTTATTGAAGAACATGATTTAGCTGCAACTATGTAATATTTAACTATTTTTTATCATCAGGAACTTGCTCTTTTTTTTTTTTTAACTATGATTGATTTATTTATTTATTTACTTTGAATATTACAAAACCGAGTGTCTTTTGCATGCAACTCCAAAATGAGTTTTAGGATCGATTACAGCACGACCACATGAGAAACAAAAACCTCGTTTACAATGTTGACAAATAAGATAATTACCAATGCCAGATTTAATATTGAGCTTTCCACATTTTATGTTTGGACATTTTTTAGTACGTTCTACAAGGAGTTTACTAATTATAGGTTCTTTTAATGACATAGATTCATGTGGATTATCTTGAATGTTTCTTTCATGTTCTAATGCTTGTTGTACTTTATCAAGATCATTTTCATAATTTTCAATTAAAATTTTTGTTTCTGTTGTTTGATCTTGAGCATCACTCCAGTTAAACACTGTACGACAACGTGTACAATACATATGATCACATCCTTGATTTTTTTCAATTGGTACTTGACACTTTGTATTTGGACAAAGACGTGTTGAATTTTCGATTCTTGCAACAGCAAGAAATTCGCGTAAAAATTTTTCTGCATCATCTGGTATTAAATTGAGAAATTGCATTTTTTGACGTAATTTACGATGTTTTTCTCTTAATTCAGCTATTTCAAGTTCATGACCACATAAGGTTTGAGAATGATAAGTTTTTTTACATTTTTTACAAAATGCAAAACGACATTGAGCACATAATGCTAGATTATCTTCTTCACTATCTATTAAAACTGGTTGTTGACATCTAAGAATGCATTCAAAATTATAGAATGATATTTAAAACGAAATTAATTTTAACTAACCTTGGACACCAAACAATATCTGGCATTTGTTCAAGAGTTTTTTGTAATAATAATCGTTCATATTTATCATATAATTGATCATTATTAACAATTATTTTTATTTCAGATGGTAATAATGCTAATTGACATTGTAAATCAGGACAAAGCAACCATTGCACTGAACCTGTATTTATATGAATTTGAGCATAATCATGTAGACAAATTCGACAAAAAGTATGATGACATTTATATAACCGTATCATATCACGTCCAGGTATATTATTCGACATACAAATAGGACATTCATGATATGCATGAAGAAATTTTTCATCTTCTTTTTGTCGATTGTATTCTATTAATTGTTCATAGACATATGCAGCTTGATTAGGTTGATAACTAGACATAGCTCGTGGATCATCATTATCATTATCATTATTTATAGCTTTATTTGATAGGCAAAGTTCATTAATTGATAAAAATTGTTCTTTAAGACATTCAATCCATTGATAAACAATAGGTTCACTTATATTTTGTTCCCATATTTTATCTAATTTTTGACACATATTTTCAAGATATTCACGAGATAAATAACATGATGATAGAACAAATGTTGGAGAATATATTGATGATGGATATTGATCATGAAAATGTACAGTTAAAATTAATGGTGGAAGATGTTGAATTAATGTTGATAATTGATTAGAATTATCGATAAGACGTAAATAAAATGGTGTCGACAATTGAAATTCAATGTCAATTTCAAATTGATCATTTTCATTACTGAAATCTGTAATTGCATCGCCTAAAATTGATTTCAATATAAGCAATTCTTCTTCTTGTTGTTGCTTGTCAGTCGTCATTATAAACAGGTTTTTTTTGTATATTTGGTTTTTTTACCTCCTTATATATATTTTTTTTTCTTTCTTCTGACGCACAATTGCCTCGTTCTTGCGCAGTTATAAGAACGAATAAAAAAATGCATGTATATTATTTTTTTAAAGAAGCAAAAATATAGACAAAAAACAAATAATTTTATAGATAATTTAAAACTTAAAAATAGAATAAAAAAAAAAAGAATAAATCAAATTGTAAGCATATTTGTTCTTCTGTACAATTAATATTTATTTAATTTCGACGTAAAGCATCAAGACGAGCTTCTAAATCAGCATCGGCCGTAGATGTTGCTTGTTGAGCTTGTGCTGGGTTAGCAGCACGACCTGCTAAAGCACCATTTTGTGCATCTGAGAAAATAGATAATAAATGATTGTATCTTTATTTTTAATCTTATTAAATTAACTTACTAGGTATTTGATTAGCTACAGATATATTAAGTTCACTAAGGACTTGATCAACAAGTTCTTCACTAAAATAAAATTGATAATATTAATTTTTCTTTTTATCTAACAACAAAAAATTTTTCTTACGTTGCTTCTTCATCATCATCTCCTTCAAAAGCAGCATCCATAGCATCATTCATCATTTCTTGTTTTATATTATTAGCTGTCATATTTTGTTCAAACATTTGCATGGTTTTTTGAAAATCTTGTAATGGCATCTAAAATTTAATGAAAAAAGTTGTTAGTGTAATTCCTATGGAATTAAAATGCGAAACAAAATGTAGTGAGAAGTGTCCAAGGACTAAGAAACATGAATTCCGTCTCAATTCTCGCCGCAGTTCCTCGAATGAAAAAAGTACAATAGGCACGATATTTTTTTGTGCTCTCACATTAATATTCATCAAGGAATTTGTGAACATGAATATATAAGTAGGATAATTATTTCAGAAAATGCATTTCTTTGGCTTTTATGAATGGCGAAACTGTAAGGGTACTAATGATCGATTCTTCAAGGGATTATCATAGTATTCTTAAGAGATCCTTCAAAACTTAGGAATCCCTATTTCTCATTTCTTTGACATTGCTGTGTACTTCAACACTCCTTTTAGATCGGTTACTATGCTGAACAAGTCAATAACGGCTATGTCTCGGATCACCCGTCTGATAATGTGCTGACGACATTGTCACATATACTTGCTCTTGTGGCTAGTTAGCGTATATGGGAGGTTCAAGTGATTGAACGGAAGAACTCTGTGTCAGGCCGATCTTCTGTCCAAAGCTAGCGATAGTTATAAGGAAGATATCGGGCTATTGAATCTATGGCTAGCCAGCACTCCATATCGCAAAGTAGCTGAAAGACAGGAGTATTCTTTTTAGATGGTGTTTCACAAAAAAAAAAAAAATAATAAGAATCTATTGAATATAAATAAAATAAACAAACCATTCTATTTAATCTTGCTAATGTTTTGGTTGTTTTAACCATAACACTAGCCATTGTCATTTGAGCATTCATTGATGATGCTTCGGATTCTAATGTTGATAATGTTGCATCCATAGCACCTAATTTATTTATTTGATTCCGTTGATTAACAATATTTTTGGCATATGTTCGTAATGCTTTCTATTGAAGAAAAAATAAAATGAAAATAAATAATGTAAGAAAATAAACATACTTGTTCGCCTTTAGCAGCTAATTTACGTATTTCATTTTCATTACGTGTTTTTTCATTATTTAATCGATTTTTCTCACGTTCAAGTTCACGTCGTGCTCGTCGAATAGCTCGTTTATTTTCTTGCATAATTTCTTTCGGTGTTTTTCTATGAAATAATTCTCTTACTCTATCCATTATTTGAAGATGATGGTGGTTTATTAAATCGAATACAAAAACAATCTATTAAATAGAATATATATATATATATGTTGTGACCCAAATCAAAATATGCTCAGGTGAAATTAAACTATTTTTCTGATGAACTGAAGAATTTAAAGAAAGACTCATAACTAGAGAATGAGGGAGGCTCGGGTGTGAAAGGAGAGTAAAAACGGACTAAGATCATATTCACTCTCGCTCTCTCCTCATCATCGATCCATTTCATGTTCTCATTATGAATCTTGCTAGTTCATCAGAAATATATGCTAACTTGAACTACAACATACAAGGTACGCTAAAAGTAAAGGAATAACATTTCTTGTTTGGAATCTCTTTTCCATAAATGAATCATTCACACTGATATTTATACCTGACATACTTCGTAGGAGTATTTAGAGAAATTGCATAGCATTATTGTTTTATTCTACAAGTGTCTTGAAATATATAATTCATTCAACAAATTCCCATGTAAAGTAACATACAGATAACAACCTGAAAGAGGGGAGAAAACATCAATTTCTCATAACATCGTATGAGGACACATCCTTATATATTTCAACGTACTCTTACAGTAAAATAATAATGATATGCAATTTCTCTAAGTACCACCATGAAATATGTGAGCCATAAATATCAGTTCGAACAATTCATTTATGGAGAAGGTATTCAAAAAAAAAAATACGTGCTCACTTATTTTTGCCCTACCCTGTATATATGAGAAATTATCGGCGAGAAAAATGAGTCAAAAAAAGAAAACAAGTAAGATGACGTGAGTATGCAAATATTCATACACCAAGATTTCTTATTCATCATGAATCATGCTGATAGATGATATGAACCAGTAGGAAATCGATTTGAAGAATGTTTTATAATTTAGATCTGAATTTAAGTGATTAAACTGTTGTAAATATTTTATTATTAAAATTAGAATATGACTCGAAAGATGGCGCTATCGAATAGAAGCTAAGATCGATAGGCTATAAAAAGCCTGTTCGTTTTTGACGAATATAAAGCATTTTTACACGATAACAACTATTGTCAAATATCAAGTTCAAAGGCAATCACTAGACAACAAGGTTTTGTGATAATCTGGTCACATTCTCGATAAATAGATCGATTAAGACTATTAAGGTTTCATTTTCATTGTAATGCTATAGTAACAATATTTCCAAAATCTTGCGAAAGCACGGATTTTTCAAAGAATTGTGTATCTTAACCCTTACATTTGTAGCTTTGATTACTTTAGTGGCTGATTCAACCAGTAGAAATGAAACTACATCAAAATTTTTGATCGAATCAAAATGAAGAAAAAAACTCTTGTCTTTGTAGTGCAGTCAATCTAGAAAAGAAAAGCATAATACCACTTTCATTAGACTTAGCAATCATTGAAATTGTTAAATTGTCTTGTTTAAAGCTATAGATATAGCAGTAATCAAAGAACATAGAAACCATTTATTTAGAATGTCACTTGTTGATTTTTTAAAAATAACCTTGTAATATTTCTTTGTCAATCTCCAGATATTTTTTTTTCTTGAGCTGACATGTCAAAGTAAATTTTAAAAATTGTGCTTTTTTTCTTCTAAATTCCATTTTCTATTTTTATATTCGATGTTCTTTTAATAGCGAAAAGAATGTTATATCGTTATCATAATCTTGTTTTTGACTCATAACATAAACAAACATGCACGAACATCTGTTAAAATGAGTTGTAGAAAAATAATTTGCTAATATTATTATGAGTCTTATTGATGAAATATGAAAAAGAAAAACCAGTTGAGTCCTAGATAAAAGAAATATATAAGAACTAGATGGCATTCAAGTTGCTCTCGACTGCGAAATGTGATGCAAAGCTTTCGATATTGATTGACGGATGAATCGATATTTTCTTTAAAAAAAAACAAATAATTGTTTGAACAATTGAGTATGAAATGTTATTCTTCAAAAGATAACCACGCTTTACTGGAATCGAAGTTTCTTTTTTGTCATTGTAAATCGGAAAGGTAAGTTTTGATGATCAATCAGATGATCGAAATCAGAAAAAAAACTGTGAAGTAGCCATCGCAAAATTCATTACTAAGAGAAGGTGTGGATGGAGGTGTGGATGGAGGTGTGGATGTGGGCGTGGATTAGGTGTGCGAGAAAAAATAAATTGCGCTCCCATCCATACCCATCCTTTTCATTTATCGATAGAAACAATATAAGTGTATTGCTAGGATAGGATATTCTATATATAAAGTTTATTTCGGTTCTTGAAACCATTACGATTTATTCGATTGTTTTTCACGATATTATCTGCTACAAAGACAAGTTTTGTTGATCTACATCAAGAATAATTTATTCAAACTCGATTTTCATTTGATTATTCATTGAATATCAATAGACAAAATTTTCAAATAACACAGAAATAGATCTACGGTATGGAAAAAAATCTGAATCGAGATATTCCAGGCAAACGTATTTTTAAAACCAAAAAGAAACATTGGTTTGTTTTTTTTGCTAGTTGAATATAGAAACAAAAGCAAGCGCAAAGGCTATTTAATCAGTATTTTACTGATGCTATCATTGTTACAAGTGTATTATAAGTCTAACAAATTGTTTTAAGTGAAAAATCGAAATTAAATGCAAAGATTAACGTCCCTAACTCAGATTTTTATTATTTAACACATTCACCACGACGAGCCCTATCGGTAGGACCCGCCATTCTTTGATAATGGATGACTGATAATGACTGCGAGAACTTTGCATTTCGTATTTTACTCTCTAAAGATATTTTATTAGGAAAGCAAAATTACTAAAAGACGCAGCGTAAAAAGCTCTATAATTTGGAAAGAAAAGCTTATTTTGATTTGTGTACTTTTTGTTTTTAAAAAAAGCAAAATTGCCTGCAACCAATTTTTGTTAGAGAGTAGTGGAACCCATCAGTGGATTTCATCGTGACGAATGTGTTAATTGAAAATTATTTTTCATAATTTTTCCAACTATTTATATTTATGTTTCAACCATCATCATTACTTCTTCAAGCTCATTAGTGCACCAATTTTTATTGTAGAAATATTGTGATATACTTTTGTTTATTTTAGTCAACTCAAAATATATTCTGCTGCTGTATTATCGTTCACAATAATATGACATATTGTTTAGATTTACGTTATATTTCGACGTTTTTTTTCTTTTTAATCAATAGCCGGTAGTACTATTTCATCAAAAACAATAAATTGATATGAATATGAAGAAGTCACATTGAATCATTCTATTTACGTAAGAATATATGTACAAATGATAGTCAATGTAATTTATAGCATAGATTTTTATCACCTTTTCAATTGAAACCATGAATCAAACTTACATTAATGACAAGGTATAAATAGTTTATAGGTAGATAGTTGCGTGTGTACAAACAATTCAAGTTACTCGTAATCTATATAGAATAAAAGTTCATTTTATTTTATATGGATAGATCAAACGATTAGTACTAATATTTCTATGATAACAATAACTGGTAGAATCACCAGTACAGTAACAGAATATTTTTAAACAAAAAAAAAAATTTTTTTTTCTTTTTGTTGTAAAATTTATTGAACGAAATAAGAGCACCTTGTTTATGACAAATATAAAAGAAAAATGTAGAATTTGATATGTTCATAAATATGAATTTCGAAGATAAGAATAAAGCACCAACGGTTTAAGAAAATAATACAACTGAAAGTTATTTATGCTCATTAGTTGCTGATCGTAATGGAAGTCGAATATGATGTATACTTGTTGGTTTTTGTAAAAATAATTCCCAAGCAGATTTTTCTGCTTCTGTTGTATTTAAAGATTTAATTAATTTATCATCAAAATGTCCTTGGGATGAATTAAGTCTAACAAAACTAATCATTGTTTTTCGAAAACGTTCTTGACGCCATAAACTTATTTCCATGGATATATTTTTTAAATTATTACGTGATATATTTTCCCATCGTAATGGAATATCCCATTTTGGTGATGGTCCTTTACGTGTTATTACTAATTTTCGTTTCATTTTATCAGGTATTAATAGACTAAATTAATAACAAAAAAACAAAAAATACCAATAATAAAATCATAATTGCAATAATAATAAAAAAAAACCTATATATTTACCCTTTGCATATAATATCAAAATTATGTTTTCCATAATAAATTGTTTTACCTTGAATAGAATTGACTTGTATAGTTCCTAATTCTTTATTTGTTGAATTTGCAATAAAAGTTAAATCAAAATGTAATTCATTAGAATCTGCCGTTGGTTCAATATTTGATGTTAACTATATATCAAAAAGTAAAAAAAAAATAATGAACGTCACATTAAATTTTTGAAAAATAATTTACATTATCTTTTGGCATTCGTGCTAAAAGTGTATATACTTGAAATTTATCTAAGATACAATTAACTAACGGAATATGTATTTCACCAAGAAAATCATTATGTCCTAATGATGTTTGACTCCACATTGAGATCCATAAAGTGCATGAATTAAACTCTGCTGCACTTAAATGATACTAAAGAGAAATTAAATATTTTGTTTTTTTGTATTTAAAAAAAAAACCAAACTAAAGATAAAAACATACACGAAATGCTTCGTTATATACTGGTTCTATCGTATCTTTTTTAACAGTTGTTTTACGTTTACTAGATTTAGATTTATCAGATAATAAATAAATTTTACAATATCTAGAAAGATATTTTATTGAAATAAGATAATATATTTGATTTGATATACTGACGGATTTGATGTTTGATTTCGTTTAACACGAGCTAAATCAGTACATTTTTTAATATAGATATCTAATGAATTTGCATTGATATTATAAGAAAGTTTTAATTCAATTGTACCAGATATGTCATGATCATGCTGGAATCTTGTTTCACCCCATGCACTATTTAGACTTGATTGTGAACTCTATATAAACAATTAAAAAAAAAGTAAATAAATAATGAACAAAAAAAAAATTAAAATTAAAAATAATTTAGTATGGTAATAAAAGCGAATTTAAAGCATTAATTTTTAACTTACGTAAATACAGTTTATGGAAGATGTTAATTTAGGTGAATCCTATAGTTCAATATTCTTACTATTTTATTTAAATATTTATTTTTATCAAATTTTAATAACGATTTCTATTTTCTAGAATATGTTCTTTCTGATTCAAAAAAAGAAAACTAAACGTACCATTTGAACTGTTTCAGTTGTATCATCAATAATATCACTATTAGCAGCTGATATATGATTTTTAACACTTTCTAATTTATTTTCATGATTATTTTGAGAATCGTTTTCATTATTTGATATTGTTATATTATCTGTTACATTTGAAGTTCTTTGTATTGGTTGCAATTCAATTGCATTCGTTAAAGAAAATGTATTTGATGAATTATGAAGACTAATATTAGATAATTGTTTTGATTCATCTACAGATGATTGTCGTATTTCAAGATTTGTACGAGAATCTAAATATTAAAATAATTGAAGAATGAAAAAGTAAAAATCTAATTTTAAATACGATTAATAAAGAAAGAAAAAAAGGCAAAATGAAGTTACAAGTGGAGAAAGAAAAAAGTACAAATGTTTTTTTTTCAGCGTGTCTGATAACGTTTTTTGTCCGATGATCGTCGTACAGTACGCTTTTGTGGTGGGAGATTGGTTGTTGTTCCAGATGTATTTGAATTGTCATTCTTTTGTGGTGATAGTGTTAAATGTAATTTCATAAGAAGATATTTCGTTTTTGATATTTTAACAGGTGGAGTTACTGGAGGTTTCATAATAGATGTTGCACTAGGCGTTTTTGTCATTGGACGTTGTGGTGATGGTATATCTTCATTATCATCATCACTAACAAAACCATCACTCCATCGTCTTGCTAATGGTATTTGATTATTTTCATGTTGATTTCGATTCGTATCAATTGTCTGTACATTTGATTTTGTTTTTCGTACTTGTGTAAATGCTTCCATACGATCAAGTTGTTTTGATAAAATATTACCATCATAATTATATTTATCTATTGATCCTTCTTCTTCTTCTTCACCAATACTATGTAAGGCATGTTTATCATGAATAATTTGTTCTATTGATGAAACTTTAGCACCTGTAGATGATGAAGAATGAGTAGACATATTCTTAAAATATGGAACATTTGTATTTGTTGAAATAATATCTCTATCAATAATTCGTCCACTATGAAAATATTCTTCCATAGAATCATCATTCAAATCGAATGTTCGCGAATTTCCATTTGGATCAGTTATATAAATAGCTGTTGGTATAATTAAATTGGAAAGATTCGATAATGGATATTTTTCTTGATTATTTGTTCTTTTCTTTACATATTTTTTATTTCGTATTAATAAACTTTCATGAGTACTTTCATCGCTTGATGTTTCATCATCATAATGTGAACTATTTTGTGAATGAAGATAGGAACGTGTAGATGTTATATATGAGGTTGGTGTCCAAGTTGAAGAAATTGATGTTGGACTATGATCATCACCAATTCCATTTTGTTTTTCTAATAAAGTTCTACGATTCATTTGAGCAGATTCTTCAAATGAAAAGACAGAATATGGACGTTGTGAAAGTGATGGTTGAGTTTTTTTCGGCTCTATAAATATAGTTGTTGGCTTAGTAGATTTTTTTGTTGTAGTTGTTGTTCCATATTTATTTTTAGTATGAGGCGCGAGTAGATTTGGATTTAAAGATTCACTTAATGTTGTTATACATTTTTTTGCCGACTCTTTCCGACGTGTATGTGATATTGGTAATGGTGTTGTTCGTTTCTTCATTGTTATTGTTGATACTGATGGTTCATTAATATTTGTTAATTCAACTTTATTGTTATTTGATGATGTTTCATTAGGTATTGTTTCCATATTTGATGTTTCTACAGATGAAGTTTTCTGTTCAAGTGTTTGAGTAAAATCATTAGATGTAGTAATATTTTCCGAATTGTTCATTGTATGTTGATGTTCTAATGCTTTAGCTTTCCAATGTTGAAATATTTCAATAATAAATGCTTCTTTATAAATTGAGTCAGGATCATCATCATCATCATCATCATCATCACGATTAGTAAGATGTTTACTAATAAAAGTACGATGTCTTGATGATGGATAAAGACTAGGCATTTCGGATTCGGTTAATAATGCTGAATGTTCAACAAGTTGTGTTGGTTGTTGTTCATGATGATAGAATTGAGTCATTGTACTATAAAAAGTGCACTTCAATGTTTCGTATTGATGAATAAAATCATCGTAATATTAGAAAATAGTAAACGTATTGCTTAACTATACTTATCAAGTTTTTTTTTTTGCGACGATTTTTTTTTCTCTCTTCCTCTACTCTACGATAAGGATGTCTATTTACAGTACTATGAAAATTGGTGTCAAGTTAACGATGCTTATTCAAGTGTGACTGATGCGTCATACAATGTACATATACTTATTACTGCTTCCTACTAGACATGACTTCGATTGTAACAGTATTTTTTGGTGGTTTTTTTTTTCGTAGTCGAATAAATATACCAATTTCCATTTAAGTTAATATTGTTTGTAATTTATGAAAATGAATTGATTGAAAAAAGATTATTGTGTTTTTTTATTTTCGTATCTTACTTGATTTCGATTGTTAAAAGTCATTGTAGATATATAAATATAATATATTTTGATCAGCACGTTTGTTGTTTTTGCTTTGTATCTTCACAACCCACCACTCACAACGATAATGATACGAACCATCTAAGTAATTTATGAAACTAGTTAATATTTTAATCCGTTATGATTCATTGGTTGCCAATGCAAAGAAAACAAGAAAGAAAAAATTACATAGAATAATAAAAAAGTAACGAATGAGTTATTTATGTCGAAGACAATCAAAGCAACAGGTAATATACATAAGCATATGTATAAAAGAATCGTTCAGGCGTGTATATATATATATTTATATAAGAGACGTATGCTTGTCCTCACACACACAGGTATGAATCGTAAAAAATATATTTTAGAAACGCGAGCAAAGTGAGTCGAATATTAAAGTACAGAAGGAAAAAAAACATAGCAAGAAGAAAAAGAAATATTCCGACGCCGGGAATCGAACCCGGGCCTCCTGCGTGAAAGGCAGAAATCCTAACCACTAGACCACGTCGGATACATCGACATAAATAATACATACTTGATTGACTGTGTATGTTGGGTACTTTCAGTGATTTTGTATCTTCTTTCATAGTTAAACTAGTCGACGTTTTAGAATTGAGTTGTTTTTCCGAATGTATCGAAGCACGTGATAATGATAATTGTGGATGTGAAATACGATGAACTACATGACGTAAACTTTGCATTGAAATACTAAGATTTTTAGTAGATGGTTTTTCAGGTGTTGGACATGTTAAACTTAGTTTGGAATCACCTATCAATAAATTAAATATTCACATATTTATTTCTTAGATATTTAAGTTTTAATTTACTTAAAAAAAAACAAAAACATCGGTTCGATCTCAACAGAGAAACAATTCTATCAAGAGGAATATCAGAGAAAATGTTTTCTTGATATTTCAGCAACATATGTAAACTCAATGGCTTTATTGTTTAATAGAATAATTTAAAGTTTTTTCGAAAAATCAATTTTCTAAAACAGCTAAAATCAATTTTCTGTACTCTTGCATAATTGAAACTACAAAGAATAAATTGAAAAAAACTAGACATTTTATTTAATTTTTTGACGAAGAAGATATATAAGTATTCTGAATTGAGCTCCATAAAACATTTTTAAAAAAGCTGTTAGCATAATTCCTGCTCGATTAAAATCTAAAAATATGATATAACAGCTATTGCCAATCACGGAAAGATTGTTTTATTTTATCTATTTTAGAACATCCTCTTTCAGAAATGCAATAAAAAAGTAATTCATATATTAGAACGAGACGTTGTTGACATACGGTCTTTGATCGTATGTCAATAATGTCGATCACAGTCAGTAGCGTAGTTGGGAAGCAGTGTTGCTAAGACGTTTGTCACAGTCAATAATGAGTTGTTTTCAATATGTCTGTCACATCTGTGGGAAGTCCAAATTTCTACTTGTATATTTCAACCTTCCTTTTAGGTCATGTTTTACAAAACAAGTATGGTTTCATTAAAAAAATATGCATATTTTAATAGCAATTTCATCTGCATATAAAGTTTTTAACGGAATTTTGCATTTTAAATGACGAGTCTCGGTTATGTTCTTGGTATATATTAAAAAAACAACGTTTTTATGAATTAAACATTTCGGAAATAATTTAACATGTATCTTACTCAAAAGTGTTAATGAAAATTTCTTTCAAAAAATTAATAATAAATTTCATTCTGAATATTTTCTATATTGTTCAAACTTACGATTAAAGGATTGATGACGTCGTGGAATTTTTAATTTATCTATTTTTGATTTATTCTTATTTTTCAATTCAGATGATCGTACAGATTGGCTATCAGTTTCTTGTTGATTTACATTGATATTTTGATTTGAATTTGTTTTTAATATTTCTGTATTTATTGATAGCGATGCATTTTGTTTGTTTAATTTTGGAGTTTGACGCTTATTTGATAAATTTAAGAAAGCATTAACTTCATCTGATGAATTGTTTACTGTATTATGTTTTGATGCAAGTAGACGATTTCGTCTTGGTAATGGTTGTGTTAATGTTATATCCAATGGACGTCTTTCCATACATTTTTTAACATAATTTAGTTTTTCTTCATCATTATGATTTTGAACTATCATCTTAGTTATTTTATTATTCGACTTTGATTCTTTTGTTTTAATCGATTGAGTATGAAATCGACTTTTTTTATTTAATGGAACAATATCTTCTGGATCAGAATCCGAACTTGATATAGGATTTAAATCTATTTAAAACAGATATCAAATTTTTATTTAAGAATAAATTTATTCATACTGTGTGCAGAAACAAAAGGTGGAACTGATTCATGTAAAATTTCTGATTGATCCATTAGATCTTTTCGAAAAGTACTACGAATTGAATACATCCATTCACCTGAATAGCTCATTAATTGCCTAAAAATATACTTAAACAATTAATGCATCCGACGTGGTCTAGTGGTTAGGATTTCTGCCTTTCACGCAGGAGGCCCGGGTTCGATTCCCGGCGTCGGAATACTTTTTTTCTTTCTCTTTAATTATTTCTTCTAAACTTACATTTGTTTGCAACATAACCGGCATAGCCAGCTATTGTCATTAACATTATAGATAAGTCGACATTGTTTACAAACTTTTGCTGAACATCTTGGACATGTATCACCTGTATTAAATATAAAACCAAATGGTGTTTGACATCGAGCACATATTGAATTTGATGTTGATTGTGAATGTTCTTTAAGATTCGCCACTTCTTTTCTTAAATGCCTAAAAAGAATCATAATAGCCATACGTATATATTTTTTTTCACTAGTCTTAAAAAGAAATATAATCTACGTACGTAAAGCGTAATAAATGTTTATTACGGAGACTTTCATCACGTAATAAAACATCAAGAATATGTTGTTTTTCATCATCTCGAAAAACTGAAAGATCAGGTAAATTAATCACATTATCATCAATAGCAATTGTTGATGGTGATGGAGTTCGTTCGACATTATTACGAGTATTACGTGTCATTTTTAAAGTCTGAAATATTACATTATAAATTAATATAAAATGAAAAAAAAACAGAAGAAATATATTTATTCAAAAGGTAGTATTACGAGTCAATTGACCCGTATTTTAATATTAGAAAAAAGAAGAGTTCATCTAAAACGATGATCATAAATCATTTAAAAATTATTTTTAAGTAAAAAGGAAATGTTGCGATTATAGGCTAATAAATGACTATGATATATATATATATATATATATTTTTGAATCATCAATGATAAATATACATCATCCTTCAAGGCATAATTGTCGAGAGAAAAAGGAATGGGAAAAGAAAAATTGTTTTTTTTTTATGTGCTTGTTCCTTTTTTCTTTCTTTAAATAAAAGAGAATCTTCGGAGCGTTAACCTCGTCTTTTCCTTATTCTTTACTCTCGTTTCGGTTCGTTTGAAAAAAAATATTCTTTAGAGGGTATTTTTTCCCCTAAATTACTATTATAAATATATATATATATATATTTCCGATCATCCTTTACTAACTAATTATCAGTTGCCGCGCTACTGCCACTTATTGTAATATGATGCATTTCTCGACAGAACAATAACAAGTTTTAAAGTTAACCGAGGTTGAAGTTAAATTGAATGTTCTACCGAAATATTTTATGTCTATGTGTGTTTATATGAGCAACTTAAAAAAATAAAATAGTTGATATACAGTAAATAAACATGTGCGCACATGTATAACTAATTATCTTTATTTATTTATATATGTGTTATACATTTTCGGATGCAATCCGATTCACTCACTGAACAGAATCGGTAATTAATATGAAAAAAAGTCACCTGTAGACGTTGACATGTAAAAAGAAAAAATGCAATCACATCTGACCTGTAATTAGACGTAAGAAAAATGCTTTAATTTGACAGGCATTGACTTTTATTATTCATTGCTCTTAGTTGAAAGGAAAAAAAGCTATTGAACACATGACATATACATATATATATATATATTAACTAATTAAAAATACATATTTTCTAATATCTAACAAATTATTGAAAATTAAATTAGATACTTGTTAATGGTTGTAATTCTCAAGGGAAAAAACTCGATTGAAAGCAATACTCTATAGAGTTTTAGATAGAATTAATTCAACATTTTCGTTTAAAAACAAGAAATAGAATATTAGAAGATATTTGAAAAAAATTTTTTTTTTGTAATAAAAATACCGCATAGTTAAATATCATTATTTCGTTCATATATGATTTATTTGTTTTCTTTTTCTACTCGGAAATGATTCGGTGATATAATTGACTTTGAGTCGATGAATAACCTCATTCACAATATTCATTGTTGTCTTGACTACATAAAGCCAATATGTTTATGTCTTCCTCTTGTGCACGCCTGATCACTATTCATTTGCACGCTATATTTCGTGATTATACTAGAAAAAAAAATGCACCCATTCGCAAATTAACAACTTGCTAAAAACCTTTTTAACTGAATGTATATAAATAAAAATTTGAATGTTGATCTTATGCATAATATACTTTCTGTAGTATTTTGTATTCTAAACAGAACTTAAGTATTTATACAAAATCAGGTTATATTATAATTATCAAAGAAAGAAAAAAAGAAAATGGATTACTCACTATTATATTTGTACTATTCAGCTTTTCATGATGTTGCATTATTATCAATGATGATCATTTCTTTACATTAAATTGTTTTTCTTTTTTTTCCTGCCGACAATAATAATGAGTTCTTCTACAGAAAAAGAAATTCAGCCACTGTACCTAGATTCTTCTTTCTTTTCTCTCTTTTTTTTTCTTCTTTTCCTATGTCAGATAAACAAACACGCATTTGGCAACTTGTTGCTACTACTAACAACGTCACGCACATCGTGATCTATTGTAGCGTATAATCTCTTGTGGGCAGTGGAAGAACGATGATGTTGTTGCTGCATTATCATCAACTAAATATGCATATGAGAAATGGATTGTTAATTCTTATTCCAGAAGAATAATACAACAATAAATGATAAACACATTTTATTATGTTTTCTGCTCAAGGTTTCTGATGAGAATAAAAAAAATATTTAAAATAAGATCGCAAAAACAAATAAAAAAAAAAGAAACAGACGATATTTGCTTGTTGCATGTAATCAAGATAAAATTTATAAGTCGCACATTAATATTCTTGTGTTAGATATGCATTATCTATGATAATATTCACGTGATTTAATCTAATTTTGTATATCATTAATTCAACAAATATGATTAGCTCTGTTGACTTCATCATTAATTAGAAGAAAAAAGAAATCCATGTCTTGTTTTTTTGCGAAATTCTCTCGAAATAAGATATGCGAGTGTTTTTTCAAGCCATTGAAGCATATTATTTTCATCGATGTAGACACATAGCATAATGGTAACAAGTATTTATATGTTAAGAATGTAAAAACACTTAACACTTGATGAATAAAACATTAAGTTGAATACGCATGTTTTGAAGTGTGTTTTATTTTCAATGAAAACTTTTTCAAATTCTATTCTTAATTTGAATATAATTACCTATTCTTTTTAAAATCAAATTGAAGTAGAAATATTGTTAATAAATTAAACAGACTATAAAATATTGCTGCGTAGAATAAGAACTTTAATTATATATTTTCATGATATTCCAATGTTGTTTATGGTTAAAATGAATGTCCTTAAAAAAGAAAATTTTTTTCCGGAATAAATTCATTCAAGAGGCAGCAACTTTTGGGATTCTTCTATAAACTCCATTATATATCTTATTATCAAATGGAAGAAATTAGGCTAAAGGCAGATGTTCGGCAGAAGGTGAAGGGAAGAACAACACTTAGGGCCGATGAACAACTGAGATGAAGGCTGATTTTTTTCTAAACTATAATTCTCTTTTGATACAATGAAAAGAATTTCATTGATTTATGTAGAATAAACAACATTTCTTTTTTTTATTTTCCTAATATTATCTTCAAAATATTCATGTAGTAGATTTTAATTTAATATTCTCATTTTTCTTAATGTCAACGCCATTTGTCTGAAAAATCTGATCAACAATTTCTTTATCGTATGTTTTGTTGATTTATTTGCTTCAATATTGAATAAATAGGATAACAGAACATGTATTATGCGTTATATGGAATGGCACAACTATACCATATTTTACGTATCTCAATAAACCATGAAATCAAATATTGCATTTAGCATTTTGACAATATTCTACGAACGGCTATAGTATTATCTAAAGACATAACGGCTTTTTTTTAATTATCATGTATATAATCAAGCATATCAAAAAGCATTTTCTTCCCCCGAAAAACAATTATATTCAAAGTAAATCATGATAATAAAAAGAAATTTACTCTGACAATTTAAATATTACTTCTCATTTCTGAATAAAAATGAAAAGGAACAAACGTGATGGAAAATAGTTTTTGTCAAAAGAAGATTACACAAATACTTTGTGTAACAAGTTATTACAACGGAAATAAATAAAGCTCAAAGTGAAAAGGCAGATAAGAAAACAAAACCCTTCGGTTTTATTCAATTATTTATAGATAAAATAAATCTATTGAATATTATAAAACTACCTGGATATTTTAAAAAGTATTCCAAATCACGATAATACTTATACAATTCTTGTCATTAATCTATATATGATACAGTTCGAAAACTGACTAATTAATGAGTCTTTCTCTCTTTTTTTTTATATCTGAGAAATTCAATCAATAAATATACAGACTATTCCAATTCATTAAGTTCTATAATTTTTGATCGACAAGAAAAAATTTGATTCGCTCCTATTGAAGATATTATTTTAATCGAATTATATACAGAAATTCAACTTTCCATGCGATATTTTAAAAGTTTACCAGAAGAAAAAGTCTTTTTTTCCGAAACATACTATGATCTAACACATGTTACTACTATATGAATGATTCTGATTGATATAAAATATATTCAACAAACAATTATTCATGTATGAACTAAATCATTCGTTAGCAACATGATTTTTCAAAAATCAGACACATTTATCGTGGGATAATGGACTTTCCTAGAGCTGATTTTTATATTTTAAGTCACTCTAGATACCCTAAATAAATCAGTGCTAGAGACTTTTTGTTCAGGGGAGTTATTAGTAAAAAAAACTAGTGTTTAGCAACGTGACACAGAAAAGGGCATCGACTTTCATTTCATACGTTTTAGTTTAAAAAAATTCCGAATAGAGACAAAACTAAATAGTACATTCTGTAGACAACTCTTGAGGTTAAAAAGTTTCTATCTAAAATTTTTCTGAACATGTCTAGATTTTCACAAAATTTGTCGTTAGCGATATGACGAAATACGGAAAAATGCTCTTGTAACTGGATTCGAAACGGTACAAATCCTTCTTCAAAATGTCTCGGTAATAGAAGATAAAAATCTTTGTTTCAGGACTTTATAGGATCTCAAAGAAACTTTTATTTGGGAGTCTGATTTTGCTGAAAATTTCATCATAGATGCGATTTATGCCGTAAAGTTGATGCTGGAATTTTCGAATTTTTTTCTCATCTGGTCAGAGAGATATTCGCTAATTACTTTTTAATTAATAGTCAGCTGAAAGAGCCAATATTTTTACATATATGTATGCCAAAAGAACTTATTCATTAAAAAAAATCTTGTAAAGAATCAAAGTCAAATGAAAGGTGGATATGTCTCATTTTGCCTAAAATGGCTCATATATCATCACATATTCAATTTCTATCAAAATATTAGCGATGTGAATTTAATTAGAAAAGATAAACGTTTTAATAATATAAGAATTCAATTTTGATACATTACATAACAGACAAGAATTTTGAAATTAGATGAAATCAAATGCAAAAATTGTGTCAATTAATTATACAACTTAGAAAATTGTTAAATTCTTTTTTGTTTCGCTTTTTATCACAATGTCGTAAGAACGTTTGTTCGCACTACCACTGGTATATCAATGGTAGAATGTCGGTCAGAGGATAATCAACCATTTAAGTATCAAACTATCACCGATTGATCGCCAGTATAGCGCATATTACACCGAAAGGTCTACTGGTGATTTTTATCTGATTCGGATCGCGTGAGTACAGAAATTAATCTTCATTTTTTTTTATGATTTAGAGTGAATCATTATCTGTCATCAACTAAGCTTGAAAATATTTTTAAAAAATAATTAACTGCAATTTTTAGTTAAGATTTTATACAAGATATTATAAAGGATTATTTGTAGCTTAGGCATGTCCGCAGTTTTTACAGGTACTCTCTGTTGAAGAATAAATATATTTACATGTTGATGACAAAGTATTGTATTACATTTTATGGTTGAGATTTTTAATAAAAAAAAAAGAAAAATTACGTTTATAATTCACAATGAAACAAGCAATTAAAATGGTGCACAACATCGATTATTTTATTTGTCACCTGTTCAATGCATAACAAGAACTAATAATTATTTTGCTTAATAAAAATAAAATTTCATATACAGTTTTAGAATATATATTTTCCTTCACGATCAACAAGGAAACATATCCAACTGTTGGATCGCTTTCGAGTCAACAATAGGTGCATTTTGTAGAGCTCAGTGAACTATGTCCACCCTGAAAAATGGTTCGTGTCCATGATCTGTTTCTGAGAAGATCGAGTGTTTGTAGTTTTACAGCTGAAGATGTCGACAATATCTCAACTATATTGTAGCAAAATGATCTTCAATGTTGATAAAATCTTCAGCGTTTATAGAACTTTTAATTCTAAGCATTCTTATGAAAAATATTTTTGAAAACGCTTCTGTTTTGATGGAGATAGACTCAAAACACCTTAAGCAATAAAAGTAAAAAAACTCAGAAAAAAATTTTCTTGAGGTTTTCTAGGTTTTCATTGGTTAAAGCGTTGTGAGTCTATCTCCATCAAAACAAAAGCGTTTTCAAGAACTTTTTTCATGAGAATGCTTAGAATTAAAAACTCTATAAATGCTGAAGATTTTATCAACATCGGAGATCATTTTGATGCAATATAATTGAGATATTGTCGACATTTCCAGCTGTAAAACTACAAACACTTGATCTTCTCAGAAATAGGCCACGGGCACGAATCTATTTCAGAATGGACATAGCTCACTGAGCTCTACAAGATGCACCTATTCTTGACTCGAAAGCGATCCGACAGTCGGATACGTTCTCTCGTCAGTGATGTGTCACTATCGCAGGCTTCTATATCAGTTTCATCAATCAGCATATTAATTCATCGCAAATTTAATCTGAAAAGTAACATAAATATACGTATCTCAATGTCAGAAAAGGAGTTTATATATCTGAAAACGCATCAATGGTGTATATTTCGAATTAGAGTCACATGATCCGAAGGAATTGCATAGTAGATTGCAAAAAAATTTGAATATGATAGAGAGCAACGTAGAGATAGTTGAATAGCCACCACTTTATCTTCTCTCTTCTTCTTTCTATTTTTCGAAGAAAAACAGTGGTTTTTAGACACGAGGAAATACAGTTAAAGAAACGAAGACAAGAGAAAAAGAAGTTAGAATTTCACTTCTTCTATCTCGTTCCAATTACGCAATACGCGAGAGAAAGAGAATAACAAAGTTGATAAATTATATAATCCGTCGAGAAAGGAAACTGTCTATGTGCTGTAACAAA